CCCTCGGTGCCCACAGAATGGTTAAATAGGTAAAGGTGCTTGCTACTAATCCTGACAACCTAAACCTTTGATCTTTGAAGCCCATATGGTGGAAAGATAGAACCCACAAATTGTCCTCTGACCTTCACATTATGTGTGCACATGTCTCTCTGTGCACACATACATACAAATAAGTATGTTTCTTTTGGCTGGGTGTGGTGGCATATGCCTTTAATCCCAGCACTCAGGAGGCAGAGGCAGGCAGAGGGCAGATCTCTGTGAGTTGGAGGCCAGCCTGGTCAACATAGGGAGTTCCATATCAGCTAGGGATGTTTTGAGACCTGATCTCAAAACAAACTCCAAAACCAGAACATAGTGTAAAATTTTCAATAGTAAAAATTTTCACTTTGGAAGAACGTAGTGTTTAGGTCTGTCAAGGTGAGGCGGGTTCAGCAAATATGTTGTTTCTAAAAGTCCCTATACTATTCTTTTCCCAACCTTGAAAATTGTCTTACTCTTCATTCCTAGGTTTTGATGATACAATTAATTTTGCATGTTAAAGAATATTAATAAACTTTTTCAGATACTGGCAAGTCTAGTAAAAGAGAGAACACACCCACAACTGGTGGTTTTGGAAGAGGAAAGAGTTTTGGAAACAGAGGTAATTATATTTTATAACCAAAATTTTAGTTGATTTGAAGGTTTTCAAGTTATTTTATGATTTAGCCATAGTGTAAAAGTAGCAGTTTATGCTGTTAGGATGTGTGTGGTGTTCCATTTGCCTTTTAAAGAAAGAATTATTATTTTGAGTATGTGTGAATGAATATGTGCCATGGTGGTGCAGGTGTGGAGGTCAGAAGATCTCCTTACATGTGGGTTTTGGGGATTGAGCTCAGGCTTTCCACAAGTACTTTTTTCCCCCACTATGCCATCTCATTGACCCTCCATTTGCCTTTAAAAAAAAATTCTCTGGGCTGGAGAGATGGCTCAGTGGTTAAGAGCACTGACTGCTTCAGTTTGGGTCCAACCACTGGATCCTGGTTAACCTACTGAGTCCCATCCTTGAAAGAGACTGACTCTCCTCCCAGCAGCATTGGTTGCCAGTAGTTCCTCAGGTAGGGTTGAAGGTCTCTTACCCACTTCCCCACATCTATGCTGGGATTTTGTCTGCTTTGAGTTTTCATGGGACTTATGCATGCTGTCACTATTGCTGTGAGTTCATATGAGTAACTGACCAGCTGTCTGGAAAACTCTTATTTCCTTGTGGTCATCTATCTCCGACTCTTACAGTCTTTCTGCTCCCCTTTCTGCAATGACCCCTGGGCCTTGGGAGGCAGAAGTTTGAAATAGGTGTTCTATTCAGGGATAAGCATTCTGCAGCCTCTTGTTCTCTGCACATTGTGCAGTTGTGAGTTTTTGTGTTAATTACCTGCTGCATAAGGAAGCTTTGCTGGCGAGAGTTGAAAAGTGCATTAATCTATGTGTATAAGAAGTCATTAGGAGTCAGTTTAATACTATATCTATTTAGCAGAAAACTGGCATTAGGCTCTCACCTATGTACTGTGACCTGTGTAGCCTCAGGTTCCTAATTTAAAACTTAGTTTTTATGGAATCATGTTCTTTTTAAAGGGATCACACACATAAAAAGTCTCTATTAAAAGAAATTACTTTTGTCTCAGTCATATAGTGAGGCTATAGGTACTTCATAAAAATTGTATATTAAATTTAATGGAATTTTATTTCTAGAAAGGCCTTTGCAGTTTTGTTGAATTGGAGGCTGTTCAGTGACTTGAGACATACATACATATATTATGCATATAAATTGGACAACTGCCCAAATAATTGGTTGGTTCTTACTTTAAAGACGCACAAGTGTAATTGAGTATTTTATAATTTAGTTTGAGAGAGAGAGAATAGATTAGGGGGGGGTTCAACTCTGTTGCCCAGGTAGGTTTCAAACTCATGGGCTCCAATGATACTCCCTACTCAGCTTCCAAATAGAATGACTTAGACATATGTTTTTATGAAAAAAAATTGAAAGTGAAGTTTGATGATTTTTGTTGTTGTTATCAATAGGCAAAGGGGCTAGAGAAATGACTCAATGATTAAGAGCACTGGCTGCTCTTGCAGAGACCCTGTGTTCAATTTCCAGAACTCACATGGTGGCTAACAAACTATCTGTAACTCCAGTTCCAGGGGATCTGACACCCTCTTCTGACCTCCATGAGCATTGCACAACACGGATGCACTTACATATATGCAGGCAATACACTCATACACATAAAATAAAAATAAGATAATTTTTTAAAAAATAGGCAGACAGAAAATAGGGGTTCTCTATTACTGAGAAAGGACAGATGATCACAGATAATTATTTGTATCATTTTGCTAGATGATGGGATTGTGAATTAATTTGTAAAATTGAATTTTTTTGTGCATACATATTCATGTCTATGTGCACCTGTATGTATGGATGTGCATGTGGTGGTTTTTTTTTTTTTTTTGATCTTTTGAGACAGGATTTTCCTATAGCCCCAGCTGACCTGGAACTCACTGTATAGACCAGGCTGGTCTCAAACTCACAGAGATCTATCTGTCTGCCTCTGCCTCTACCTCCCAAATGCCGGGAATAAAGGTGTACTACCATGCCCAGCTCACGATCTTATTTTTTGAGACTGGTATCTTCACTGAATCTGAAGCTCACCAATTTGGCTAGACTGCCTGGTCAGTGAGTCCCAGGGATTCTCTGTCTCTCTTACCTCAGTACAGGAATTATACATGCTTATGCTGCTGTGTCTCGCTTTTTTATTTGGGTGCTAGGGATGGAACTCAAGTCTTATGCTTACACGGCAGGCAGGTTACCAAATGAGTCATCTCCCCAGCCCAGAATCAATTTTTTTTTCTTTTTTGAGATAGGGTCTCCCTGTAGCCCCAGCTGACCTGGAACTTGCTATGTAAACCAGGTTGGCCTTAATCTTACAGAGATCCACCTGCTTCTGCCTCCCAAGTGCTAGAATTAAAAGTGTGTGCCACCATACTCATCTCTAAAAATTGTTGCTATTTTGAATAGAAAGTAAGTAGTGGTTATACTGATATATACCCTCATCTAGCTATTGTGTATAGAGGAAAATAGGATATTTGAGATAATATAAAATTTGCTGAAAAGTTGTCTAACATTGAGTGGAGCTGGTAATTTAACAATATTTATTACAAACTGAATGAGTTATCATTCAATATCTATATGTAGCTTATGTATTTGTATATAGCTTAACTTATTTTGAAGGGTCATCATAATTAGTTGTTCCTGAAGGACTTCTTAGATTTATTTATATGTGCGTGCATGCATGTGTGTGTATATATGTGTGCACACCCATGCCCAGGAAGGCCAGAAGAGATCCAATCCCTTGGAGCCACCTCATATGAGTGATGGGATCTGAACTCCGGTTCTCAATAAACTCTCAACCTCTGAGCCATCTCTCTCCAGCTCTAAAAGACTTTTAAAACTACTGATGTAAAGGACAATTTTTTTCAGAGATATTCAGTTTTCCTTTATATTTTGTATAGGTTTTTTAAATAACAAGTTTGAAGAAGGTGATAGCTCTGGTTTCTGGAAAGGTAAGTTGTGATTTTGTGGTGACTTTAAAAAATGTCAGAACAGAGGTTAGAAATTCAGATTAGCAGTTTTAGTCTGGTCTAGTTCTAATTTATATTATATCTAATTTCATGAAGTAGCTATAGGAGCCCTAGGCAAGGATATAGATACAGATGAGACATCTTAATCAGTCTTCTTGCCACTTACCCTTAGTTAATCTGTGACTCTTGAATGTTACTCTGCCAGCAGAAGAAAAGGGATAGATAGTAGAAAAAGTAAATCAAGAATTAAAACTCAGGGCTGGAGAGATGGCTGAGTGGTTAAGAGCACTGGCTGCTCTTGCAGAGGACCCAGGTTCAGTTCTCAGCACTGACATGGTGGCTAACAACTGTCTGTAACTTCAGTTCCAGGGGATCTGATGCCCTCTTCTGACTTCCGTGGTCATTGCATGGCACAAGTGCACTAGATACACGCAGGTAGTACACTCATACACATAACTTTAAAAATAATAAATCTTAAAAGGAATTAAAACTCCACACTTAGGGCTGGAAAGATGACTGAGTAGGTTAAACTCAGTTGCCACTGAGTTTGATCTCCAGGATCCACATGGTGAAAAGTAGCGAATCAATATTTGAAAGGTGTCTTCTAACCTTCACACATGCCCTATGGCATGCACATACCCACGCACATACACAAATTAATAAAAATAAAACATCCCTCCCAATACAGTCTAGAACTGCTAACCTCAGATTAGTCTAAGAGGAGGATGGCTACAAAGTGAATTACTGCTCATAGTTAAAACATTCCATCTAAAGTATTGACACTCTTTGGGGAAATACAGAGATAGATGAGAACAGAATTTTGCTAGAAGATAGATGTTATTTTCCCAAATCAGACTGAGTAGATTTGGGTACAACCTTGAAACTTTTGTTTGAAAGGTATCCCTGGTGATTCTGATATGTTCTTTGTTTGAAAACTATTGACCTGTGGAGTCTTCATGACAGTACATTTTAGAGTTCCAGAGTTGTTTACTTCTCTGTTCTGCTTATGTACTAGTTGAATAATGACACTACAACAAATTGCTTTTTCTAAGCCATTTTCTTACTCCATAGAATGGAGACCATCTATTTTATAGCTATTTAGGCTTTCAGTAAGAATTTGTGTAAAAGCATCAATACTACACACACACTTGTGGTAAATAATAAATGTCATCTATCCTTATTAGATACTTGAATCTTGACCTTGGGATGAACTTGGTGATAGAGGGCTTGTCTAGTGTGCACAAGACCTTGGCTTCCATATCCAGCACTGCAAGAAAAAAAATGAGGGGCTTGATTTTATTATACTCTTTGATCTTTGAGGACTAGATTCAGTCACATAGATGCTTTTAAAATAAGATTGGGCGATTTGTTGTTCTTGCTTTTGAGATGAGGACTCCCTTTGTAGCCTAGATTAGCCTTGAACTTGTGGCTGTCCTTTTGCTTCAGCCTCCAGAGTGCTGGGATTATAGAGGTGAACCTCCATACTTGGCTTAAGATTATATTATAATATATCAAATAACATTCTTTCTTCAAACTATTGCCAGTCCCATTCTCTCAGTAGCCCTGCTTTTTCCCCCTGCCATATTCAAAAGTAAACATACATAGCATAGAATTTGTATTTATGAGGAAAAATATCACCATTTAAAATTTTCTCCATTTTTGGTGTTATAAATTTCGTTTTTGATCGTTTTGAAAGATGGTCTCCCTGTAGCCCCATTTGGCCTGAAACTCGATAAATATACCAGGCTGGCTTTGATCTCATAGCGATCCACCTGCCTCTGCCTCTCAAGTGCTTGGATTAAAGGAAGGCACCACCATGCCTGACTTTGTTGTAATCAATTTTTAACCTTACTAGTTATATTAGTTAATTTTTCTCATTGTTCTGAGAAAAGGAACTTAAGGAAGAAAGGGGTTTTTATTTAATTTAATTTTTTTTATTTTTATGTGTCTGAGTGTTATACCTGCATGTGTGTAAGTGCATCCATGTCATGCAGTGCATGCATAGCACAGAAGGGAGCTTTGGATCCTCTAAAACTAGAGTTACAGACAGTTGTAATGAGACTCTGGCTCAGGAGAGAAAGATGTTATACTTTTAGAAAGTTGGCAGGCACATAAGTTGTGTAGGCCATTTTATATCATGCAATTAATAGGTTGTAACTAATCTCATGATCATTATTTCATTTTTATTTGTGCTTGGCTTTATTTTCTGGGTCTGCAGAGATCACTTACGTTTTTAAATGTATTTTAAATGATTTGATTCACAAGAAGTTCTAAATAGTACAGAATTGATTTTCACCCAACTTCTCCTAATGTTGTTATTTTATTTTACTTTCTTAGGGCGATCAAAATAAATACAGGTTTGTTTGGTGGGAATAATTGGCCAAAGTTAATGTAAGATTCCTCTCTCTTTGCCAGGTCCTAAATTGATCTATAGGACTTTTTTTCCTTCTAAGGCAGTAAATATTAACATCTCACCATCATTATTTCAGAGCCATTCTTCTTCCCAAAAGTTTCTTTTTAAGTTCCCCTTCTTCTGCTTCACTTTCTTAAATCTTTGAAGAAAATTGTGTTAGATGGCTGTTTAAGGATACATTGACTATTGAAGCTCACATAATCAATACTAGTCTTCAGCTAGATGTCAGGATCTTCTATAAGAATATATAAAATAAAGTATTAGACTTGTACGTTTTGTGCAGGAATTAGCTAATACCCTGTAAGCTTTTGATCACTTGACATCATTATTGTTAAAGTTCTTGAATAATATACACAGATGACATGTACAAAGATAATATTGAAACTGTCTCTGTTTCCCAGTGGTGACTTTCTTGTAGCTTCTGGAAAGCTTAGTTCTATTAGGAACACAGAACTTTTAATTTTGAAAAAAATTTCATTTTTGTCTTCTGCTTGGGCATTTATCTTCAACCAGTTCTTCAGATGACTCAGGTATCTGTTAGTGTTGTAATTGGGTCCTCATACCACCGTTCATAAAAACCCTGGAAATGTTCCTTGTTACTGTCATTAAAACAGAATAGCAAGTATATCCTTGAATTATTAGGATAAATGGGGGAATGTTTGCATATATTTAAGAAGGCACCAGTTTCTCAGAGTTACTAAGAAATAGTAAATTGCAGAAAAAGACATGATGATATTAAAAATAGAACAGTCATGTATTTCTAGTGATGTGTTAGTTGCTTTTCAGAGCCATTTGATTCCTTGTGTGACTTTTTTGTTTTGTTTTGCCTAGAATAGCAATGAACAAATAGTGGGTGCTCAGTCACATACTTAACAT